GCCAGCCCGCGGGCGGGACGCGGTCACCGCGACAAGCCCCTGCCGTCGCGGAGGCTCCCGGCGCGGCCGCGGCTCCGCGTGCTCTTTGCGATCGTGCTCTGTGCGCACGAGCCGTTGTCACTGAGCTCAAGCCTCAGGGCCGCCCACCCGGAGGCCGGTGGCCGGGCGTGCCGGGAGAGGGGCGTCACCTCCCCGTCGGTGGCAGCGCCCGCCTCTGCCCGCCGCCCCAGGTCCGTGTGGCCCCCAGACAAGGCGCTGGCGGGCGCAGGAGTCGCGAGCATGGGGACGCTTCTTTTGTTTTAAGAGCTGACCTTTGACCTGCACTGTCTTCCCCGCAGGGAGGGGTCAGCCGCTGAGCTGGACAGTATATCGAAAAGTCCAATTTTCTCTACCAGTTTGAAATATCTTGGTGATATGCCAGGGTTTTGAGGTGTTTGTAGCCATTTCCTAACGTTTAATTCTGTCCCTGTCTTGGGGTGCACGCTGTCTCCCCACCATCATCTCAGCCTGGGGTTCTGACTCATTGTGGCTTGTCTTCAGTTGCCCTTCATTTCCAGAATTTCCCCCTCTATTCTTGACTTTTGAAAAAGCCAAATAGCTTTTGTCCATGAAAAGTCCTGTTGGCACCCCTGAGATGCAGGGGTGAGTCTCCCTGCTATGAAGCTGTCGCAGCCCCTGCGGCCTGAGTCCATCCCCCAACAGGGAGGGAACCCCAGGGTGCGGCAGACCCCTCCTGTCTCCCTGCTGCCCCGCTCCGCAGTGGGCTTCCGTGGACCCGCCTGCTCTACTCCCCACTCTGTCTCTGGGGAGTCCTCTCCCCCCCACCTCTGGCTGCACCCCAGTTCTAGTGTACATAAATACAAAAATAAATCTTAAAAGAAAAATCTTGTTGAGTTTTAAGATTGAGTGTGCATTTAATCAATAGATTAAGTTGGGGATTTAAACTGGACATTTATGGTGCCCACTTTTCCTGTGTAAGGACAGAGTGTTACGGGGCAGCCCAGAGTGGACTGGGCCGCCTGTCTGCGGGGCTTCACCCCCATACTCACTGGTTACGTGCAGGTGCACACAAAAGGGTCAATGACGGTTGGTTTACAAAAGGGGAAAGGAACAGGAAACAGCCCAGGAGAGAGAGTGGGACACAGAGTCACTGGAACACCTCAGGGCTCCGCTGACTCAACACACCGAGTCACGCCGGCCGGCGGAGAGCCGGGTCGGAGCGAGAGAGGGCGAGATGCAATCATGCCCCATTTGCCCCCCCATGTCCCAGAATCCCTGCTAGCTCCGCCCTGGGGTCCTCGCAGTTCTCTCCCTGGGGCTGCTGGGAGTTGTAGTTTCCAGTCACTGGAGTAGGGTGTAAGGTCCAGAGAGCTGGAGTCGGGGTGGGGTCCCCAAGGCTCTGCAGAGCTCCTTTAGGACATCCTGGCCCTTAACAAGAGCACCGTCCATTCACCATGTTTCCTTGTCCATCTCCTCCTGCGGCACTCACTGCTGTGGCTACCTGTGTGTATCTGGTGCTGTTTTGCGTTAGTGATACATGATTTAGTATCTCGTTCACCATTTTGCACCTGAACTTGGGGTGTGGGAGCCTCCCACAGGCCTGGGGTGGCCGCTCAGCTGGGCGTGCGCGCGTCAGAGGCTGGGGGTGGAGGCCTGTGGGCCACAGGAGGGTCACGTCCGTCCTCCGGCTGGGTGCGGCGGCAGGAAGGAGCAGGAGGACGGGTCAGCTCGCCTCGCTGTGCAGCCCCAGGTCTCAACCCGTGGTCCTGCCCTGGGCACCGTGTCCTGGGCTTCAGGCCCCTCCCTGTCACTGCCGCCGGGCTGGAGCCCAGGTGGCCAGGAGGCCTGCGGCAGCTTTTCCCACCCCGGGGGCCTGTGGCCAGCGCCAGGGCAGAGGGCCAGTGCCCCCTTCCTGTGCGTGTGTGCGGCGGTGCGCACGGGTCACGCACGGGTCAGCGCTGCACAGGTGGGGTCGTGTGTGCAGCCACAGGAGTGCGCACATGGGGCCCCGTGCCCGCGGGGCGGCGGCTCCGGGGAGAGCCCTGCTCCAGGAGGGTGCCGGTGGCCAGGCCGCGCCCCGCCTGGGCCTTCCCGACAGCTCCCTGCAGTGCGGCTGCCGCGTGCAGTCAGCTCACACCCAGGTCAGGGTGCGGCCTTGGACCCTGGGCCAGCCCACGGCCGCAGACACACATGGGGCGCCCGATGCCGCGGGGCTCCTCAGGCTGGGGCCCAGGGCCAGCACCCCGGCGTCGGCCGAGGGTGGCCCCCGGGGTCAGGGTCGCTCCCTTCTCTGATTCAAAAATAATTCCTGCTCGCGTAGAAAAGCCGCCAGCCCGTCTGTGCCCCTACCCAGGGTGGGCACCGCCCGCCACCCCGCGCCTCCCTCAGGGCCCTGGTAGCTCACCCAGCAGCACAGGCGGAAGGCCAGGGCCAGGGCCAGGGCCAGGGGCCCAGCTGCTCACCCTCCGGGCACCCTCCTCCCCTGAGGCACCAGCTCCTGCCGGCTCCTGGCAGAGCTGCTGCTCACCCTGTCCCACCGCTCCACGCGCCTTGCTGGTGCAGGCTGTGGCCGCCTCCGGCCCCCATCCTGGGCCCCCTGCCCCTTCCTCTTGGGCCCCCTTTTCTTCTCCCGGGCCCCCTCTCGCAGGGTCCCTCCACTTTGCTTCCACAGCTGCTGGCTATGAACAGAATCCTGCGTGTGGGCCCCCACGGCCTTGCAGTGAGGGTCTCCACACTGGCCCCTCCCCGCTGCCCCCCGGCTCAGAACTGGCAGGACGCGGGGTCTCGGCTCCCGCCCGCCCCTCTCCCTCCGGCTGCCTCACCAGCCCCCCTGCTTGGCTCAGAGCCGCCCCTGCTGCCCAGGGAGTCAGCCTGCTGGCCCTGCTCTGACCAGTCGGGTCGGCCTTCTGTGGAAACCTCTGAGTCAGTCCCACATGCGCCGCCTGCCCCCCCAGTGGGCACCAAACCAGGGGCTGTGAGTGGGCAGGGGAGCAGGTGGGGAGCGCCCTATGCCTAGGGGCGGGACCAGCCCTCCAGGGGACGCCCCCACCGCTGGACCCTCTGCCGGACTCCAGCCCCACCCCCAGCCTGGCACTGAAGCTGCCGGGCGGCCCAGCGGCTGTCGGATTGTTCATCCAGCGCTTGCGGCTCTCACGTCGTCGGCGGGCTGGAAGCGGTTCTGCTGGGTCCTCCCAGCTGGTGTCCACGCGACCCCGTCCCCTCCCGGTGCCCTGCCCCGCCGCCCCGGGCTGCCATCGCGGGCACAGAGCCCGACGCGAGGCCGCTGGCCGCTGCCCTCCTCCCGCCTTTTGCGCTTTGCTGCGGGGTCCCTGCGGTGTCCTGCCGCAGGCCGGGCAAGCGCGGAGCTGTTCCCGCGAAGCGGGCAGAGGGCGGGTGGGGGCGGGGGCGGGGCCCGAGGCGGCTGCTCAGACCCTGTGGACATGAGCGGCTCCGGCTGGCGCCCGGGGCTGGTGCCGCGCCCGCGGCCGGCCGCCCTCCCTGGGCACGCAGCGGCTGGAACCCTCTGCTGTGATATGCCCTGGCCGAGGAAGCGGTGTGAGGAAGCGGTGTGAGAGGACTCCCCAGAGACAGCGCCGGGAGCTGACCAGGCGGATGGACAAAGTCCACTGCTGAGGGGGGCAGACCGCAGACAGGAGGGGTCTGCCGCACCCTGGGGGTCTCTCCCTGGCGGGGATCAGACTCCTGCTACAGCGGCTGCGACAGCCTCGCAGTGCTGAACTTCAGCCCATGGCGCCACCAGGGAGGCCCTACGTGGGAATAGCTTTGTTTTGTTCATCATGAAGTCAAGTAGAATGTTCAGACCTTCAGGGGAAGCAGGAGGGAGAAGGCGGTAGAGGTTTGTGGGTGCCTCCTGGGGCGCCGGAGTCCGGGGCAGCCCTGGATTTGACGGCCTCCCTGTCTGGGCCCGCTGGCCTCGCGCTGGCCCCTCCCGCTCAGGCTCGGGGGTCAGGCAGCTGCCTGCTGCTCCCCACCGGTGCACAGCACTTTTGGGGAGGGGGCTGTCCCCGGGCACAGGAAGGTGCAGCTGGGCCCTAGGGGCGTCCCAGCAGCGTCCAGGGGCCGTAGTGGTGTCGCTGGCACCTCAGGAGAGCCGGACGCATGGACGCACGGGCCACACCAGCAGGTTCCCGCCCCTCCATGGCCAGCCAGATCTGGGCCTTTTGAAAGCAGCC